CTCTCCAAGGCTGTAGTATGACTGTACAAGCAGATGATGATGGAAAAGCAGCACAACCAAATGAATATCTGCTATTCTGTAGGTTGCAGAATTGGGCAAAAGTGAGAGGAAATGTAAGAGAATAAAACAATGTTACCATCTCCACGAAGGATTAGCTTCAGCTGGGCTGTGTATCTTCTGGCAGAGTGATACCCAAGGACTACCATCGCTGTCGAGAGTCTGAATCTGACAAACAACACGACAAAAAGCAAAGACTTAGAACTATTATCAACTTGTAGTGCCAGGCTAGAAAAACGACCACTTAAAATTGGGTAATTTTGAGAGCCTTCACAGTAAATTGGGCTGCAAATCCCTAAATGTAGGACCTCAAATCACAGTTCATTCGCAAGCAAATTTCTAAGTTAAAGAACTTGATGAAAGAGCTTCAGGATATAGCATCCAAATTGGACTTTACACATGTTAGGAACTTCCAGCATTGTAATTGCACTAAGCTGAATATTTATTTAATCGACTGAACCAGGTCACAAGAAAGGTATTAAGCGTCAGCAACTTTCCAAAAAAAATTTTTCTTTTTGACTGAACCAGGTCACATGAGAGGTAGTAAGAGTCAGAACCCCGGTACCACCAAAAGCAGGAAAGTTTAATCCCAGGACTTGTTTTCCCACATAAATAAAAATCCCATTTCATGTCAGCAAAATGCCCACTTTACATGGAACTAAAGCATGGAAAGGAAAACAATTCCTGAGACCGCAGGTTCAAGCAAAAGCACTGGAAATCAATACATTAACATTCCTCCTTAAAGACACTAGCAGGCAAGAAGCAAGGTTTTGTTCCTCTAAACTTTTAATTATATATACAGCAGATGTCATGTCAATGGGAAAAACAACCAACGTTATAAGATAGAAATTTATAGACGCAAAACTGTCTAATACTAATTCATGCAAGAATAGACTAAACCTGATGAGGAGGGACCAGAAATAACAGGAGAGAAAGTGCAGCAACAACTGATGGAAGAAAATTCCACTTTATGCCTGCAAGCTGCTGTAGGTAAAAATTGATACAGCTAGTATCTTTGCTGCCAAAATTCTCCTGGTTTTCTCCACATTCCTTCACACAATAGTCCATGATACAATGCAGATTATCAAGCTTTAATATTCAGAAGAACTAGTGGAATTCAAATCACTCAATTTCCATGAAAGCCTTCCAAGAATCACTGAGGCAGTCAGCCATCTTAAAAGCTTTGATACAAGATCCTCTTCAGATTGTTCTGAAAATCTCAAGGCATTGCTATACATTGCTTCAGATTCAGGCACCTCCATCAAGTTTGACTGCACAGCAGTTGATATTGCCCAGCTAACAAACTTCAAAAGCTTATTTTTATCCTACAAGCACATCGAAGTAATAGGTCATCTTAAGGAATAGAAAAAGATAAGCAGGGTCTAATCACAAATATGAGAAGTTGATGGTTGAACTCTTATGTCTTGTTCACTACATATAGAGTTTCATGAGGTAAAGCACTTGTGAAGTGCCATTGCTCATCTTTCTCAATCATCACCAGCTAGCTAGTAATGCCAATCACAGTCTCATGATATACTATAAGGACTTGAAATAATTGACCTAGTAAATCAATGCATACATGTGCATGGAAAATCCATACATGGGAAATTCCAATTCTGTACAATGAACTCAATCAACTTTTTACATCAGAATTTTTACACAATCTCAGCCACTTACAGACCATGTCATAGTCAAAAAACATTGACATTTCTGTACATGTGCATGGTTTGACAAAAGAAGCTGGTGTTCAAATTCAACCACCACAATAGCAAAGGATATGCAATTTGTCTACTACAATACAATTGCATCACATCATCTCAAAATTTTAAGGGCCCAAACAATTTTTCACATCAGACAATCTAGATATAATCAGCCACTTAGAGATCATGTCACAGTCAAAAACATTGACACTTCCGTACATATGCATGATTTGACAACAGATGTTGATATTCAAATTTATCTACCACAATAGCAAAGGATATGCAATTACTCTAGCGCAATACAATTGCATGACATCATTCTCAAAATTCTAAGGGGACCTGCAATAGCTTCACACTTTAGGATTCATTTTCAAGAAATTCAACTTCAGAAGGCTTCAACAGCAGAACAAAAGTCTGATTCAAAATCCAACAATTTCTTGGAAATGTGGGAGGAATTCTTAAATTGCCCAAGATATACAATGGACTGTTTCACTGTGCCCAAAAAAAAAATCTTAGTTTAAGCCACTACTTGTGCGATTTATACCAGCTATTCCATCTGGCTATAAGAGTAGGAAAACCATTTAAAAAAGACATTTAACAGATACTAAAAGCAGTTACCCAAATTTAAGTGCTCCAGCAAACTGTTGAAAAATAATAACAGAAGAAAGTAGCCAACAATCGTTTAGGCAAAGAACTCACACATCTCAGGTAGGCTCAGCAACAAACAGACGCTCTTAACAATCCAAAATTATATGCTTTCAACAGTAAATTTTGACATTGGCAATTCACCAATTCGAAATTGCACAGCGGGTCAACAGGATTTGGTAATTTGAGAAAGAGGATATGTGAAAGGTATTAGACAGAAATGTATTCTCTGTTTCCAAAATGCTTTTAGCTGTGGTCAGTTTACAAGTGGATGGCTGCATTGATCATTTGTTTTGTGGCTCAGATACACCATAGTGCATCAATAGCTGCTTATCCGAAAGCAAAATTTGCTACCAAGTTAGACATGTCAATTTGTCATACAAAATTACCATGCATTAGAATGTAGAAGCAGTCAGTTCAACAAGCTTTTAACTATAATAGCTGGAGATTGACATACTTATTGCAAAATTAAAGATCTTTCATTAAAAAAAATTGATAGAAACCAAAACTATTGGTTCACAAAGTAAAAGTTAAGGGTTTCTAAAGTGTATTATATCAAAGTTCACGATGTCCATTCTGCACAAATATATATATATGAACAATGTTTGAAGAGGTGAAGAACATAACAATCTTATAAGATGATGCTTATAGGTTTTCTTGATAACTTTCATGAGGACCATCGAGTTTAACAGAATAATTGCCATGCAAAATTATTGCAAACATGCACATGCACATGCACATGCATGCGTGCCCACACGCGCGCACACACACACATAGAGAGAGAGAGAGAGATACCATGTGAAGTATAGAAACTGGAGGAGTACTCATAAGGACAGCTTTCAGTCCAATCTCAGCAGTAGAACTGAAGGTCCCACTGCAACAGACATCAACAGCTTCGTACAAATGGTATAAACCTTCAAAAGATATTGTAAAATGCGGCTGATATATTTTTCTTTTCTGTGAGATCTTCAGGGTTGACATCAATAGTTCTAGAATCAAATCAATGATTCTGGTTTTCTCTTGTATATGTTTAGAACAACCAACTAAGATTCTGTACAGATGAGCTGCAAGTTCAGAAAGCTGCTCTAGGGCATATTTTTGCAACCACTCACTAGTATTTCTAGACATAATAACATCATTGGCTACCTGAAAAAAAGACACACCCCTACATAAGAGGGAAAATGATTTGCATTGAAAGCCATGACTTCAATTATAAAGAGAGATTAAAAGAAATTCAAATAACATATACAAGCCCATTTGTAATCATCTTATTCCACAATGTGAAATTCTAATGCGGATCCCATCTCTGGAGGTTGATATTTGATTTTCAAAAGCAAAAACATATATTTTAACAGAACATGCTTTCTAAAACCGTGTTCATAGTTATAAATGATTAAGGTCATTTCTTTTATGATAGGAAAGGAACTCATAAAATGCTGGAAGGAGCTAGGAGCCAGCTTCTGTTAAAAGCCTAGAGTTTGAAGAAAACAGAAGACAATGATGTCCGAAGCAAGCTACACACCACCATTAACCCAAAAAGAAAGAGAACAAATTAGGTTCCCATCCCAGAGAAAACAATAAAAGACATGATGCCAAAGTTTTCCAAGACTTATTCATCTTTTGGAGTATACTTAGCAAAATAGTTTGTAAAGAAGAAAGTATAAGAAAAAATGATTATACCTCCAGAACCATAGCTAACTTAGCAAATGAAAAACTTCTCTGGTCCCTGAGTAGAATCCCGTAAAAAGATGCAACATGAGAAGACAGCCAAGAAATTATGCCACAGCGTACAACCAAATGCCATGCAAGCTTATTTATTTTGACGGACTTTTTCACCATCTGCAGAATAAAAAAATAAAATTTAGCTAAACTGATAGTTCTCTAAAGAGAAAGTATCAACTCAGTGATAAGTAGTCTACTGAAGGCCATGAAAATTTCTCCTAGATCAAAATGCCCAGAGTTATAATATAACTAGCAGCTAAAGCACACTAACTAGTTTTCATGATAGTCATCTTCTATAAGCAATGTTAAAGACAGATGAATGTCGACAGAATCAAATCAAACTTCATCTTCTTGTGGTCTAATTATATAAGTATATAAGATGCTAATGCAGTGCAAATTTAAGGGCTGCTGCTGAGCAAAAAGAGAGGAAGAGGAAAAGGAAAGTAAAGAAAGGATAAAGACATTAAAGCTGTGTTCCTCGAGCTTAATTTTATTTCCCATAAACAGATAAGCAAATTTGAGAACTATATTCTTCCTTTTCTCTGAAGAAGCAGAGAAGGGAATTTCATTGTAGGATAATCATTGGCCTTGTGAGGTATGGAATACTTGGCAACAGATGCTTAAGAAGAAGAAATATAGAGCAAGGGAAAGATAATATGTTTTTTCCAATTCCACTTTCTTTAATCTTTAACGATTAGAAGTATATGCAGTGACATCATAGGGCAGAGATATTATCAATTTACCGTTCTTACTAGTAAAACATGATAAAGCATTATAAAGGTCACACAGGACATAGAACATAAGAACTAATCGACAATGGCCTATCAATTATTTTCAGCTTTTGACGAGAGAATAGGCTGGGTAGTAAAAGACGGTAAACATTTATCAGGAGCAACCCTATCTTATCCAAACCACACCCTCCCACCACCAACCCCCCCCCCCAAAAAAAAAAAAACAAAGAAAGAAGAAAGAAGCAGCTTATGAGAAAAGATTAACATTGATTACCTCAACGATCAGTTCCTTTGACTCGTCATCGGAAAGAGGAGAGGCATAAAAATTTAAAAGGATCTCAAAAATGGAATTTCTGACAAGTATTTGAGCATCATCATCCATAGTCAGAGATGTGTTTAAAAGCCGAAGCATCCACAACCTTTCTGACTTAAAAGTAACAGAGCTACTCCAGAAGAATTCTTGGAATAATGGTACACCCTTTCACCCAAGAAAATAAAAATGAGGAACCCTCAACAGAGGTTGAAAAGATATCAAATCAAAAGCATTTGAATCGCTCAATTTATTTGTACAACTCTAGTCCTAAGGTATGCAATATAACAGATATAGACAAAATAACATGGAAAAGCTCTGCAATAGAAGTGATACCTTCATATTAGCACCTGATGACCGCATCAGGCATTTACTTATAGCTGAATAATGATCATGGGAAGAATCTAACAGAACAAAAGAAGCTTCCGCAATGAATACAGCAGTTATGGAAGGAATCCTCTGACACTCTTCTTCTATACCATTTTGCAAGTATGATACTAAGAGCCGGAGTCGCATCACATCCTTCCTCTTGCGACATTTCTGTATCCAACAGTTTAAATTATTCCAAGGATAAAGAATATCATTCAAACTACTATACCTAACACAAGCTTTTCAGGCATTTCTGGAGGCCAAAGAAAATGATTGCTTCTTAGTCACTGTATGTATTCCTCTACTTGGTTTAATGACTCGTACCAAAATTCAAAACAACATAAACACACAATGATACCAATAATTGGCTCATGAATAGAATGCCTTAATTCTATGGGCCTTCCAATATGCAAACAATTACAGACGAAAACAATAACGAAACCAAAACTACTTCTACCTCCACAGCACTCTTAAATCTCACAACAGCCTCATAGCCCAATTTCCTTGTATCAGCATCAGGAGAAGACAAACTGATAAATGTAATTGCAAGCAAACCCAAACTAGCAAACTCCAGGGGCTCAATATACTCCATTGCAAGACTGTGAATTGAAAAACGCAAGATGAAAACTGGATCATAAAGTTGCACCTTCTTAGAATTTGCATTGTAGCCCTGCACAGAAATTATAATCAGATTCACAAAAGACCCACCACTAATCTCTGCAGCCCCCCCCCCAAACCTGCCAAGGTCACATACAAAAAAAAAGAGGAGGGAAAAAAAGACCAAAGAAACGACAAATATAATATTCATACAGACGTACGGCTAACCTATCCATCAAAACAGTAATATGCTAGGTATACAGTGGTCTAATTCACAATATACCTCATCAGAATCATTTGTTTGGAGCTTGCTCAAGCTCCCATCAGCAAATCTATCATGAGGAAAACAAAGGACTGTCATTGCACATAATTTGGTGTCAATGGGAAGATTTTCTCTAAATTGAATCCTTCGTCTCTCTCCAACTACTTCATTATCATATGAGTTACTCAAAGAAGATACACTTTGCTTTTGTTCCCTTTCTTGTCTCACCTTCAGAGAAGCAGAGCCCCATAGAAAATCCATTTCAGCAATACCTTCAGAGACTGATTTATCAATAGCCTCAATTTCATTCATGAGGCTATACATTTCCAAATCAATCTCATCCATGGTTGCTCCATAAGAAGACAAAAGCACCAAAACCAATTCCTTCAAATTTAAGCCATTGGATGTTTCAGAATCAAGATAATGTTGCTGACCCAAGATATGTATTAGTACTCTGAGCAACTTAATCAGTTCCAACTTCTTCATGTGAGGCCCAGTTTCATGAGCATCCTTTTTTCCATCAACCGTGTTTTCTTCAGTATGAAGAACAGTAAATAACCTCATAATGCTGGGTGCCGGAGCAAAACTCATACCAAATTGAGTACAAACAGTTGATGAATGGGCAAATAGAATGGTTGGAGCAAATTGAGAGTGAGCAAGTAACAGCTGGAGAATTGAAATGCACAAGAACTTTCCCTCAGATAGTGAAATAAGAACAATTCTAAGCATCCTAATTGTGGTAGGGTCATCAAACCTATGAAGAAGAGAATATTTGGCAAGTTGGTCTAAGAAAGGAAGCGAATGCAATTCAACCAGGCAATCATGCATTTCTCTTACCAATGCTACTATATTCTTAGCAATGAAGATCTCCAAGAATCTAAACAATGACGACCTTATGTTCTCTCCTTGCCTGCATGTATGAAAATTCTCCACAAGACGTTGCCATGAATGGACCAGCATACTTAAAAATCGGATTCTCAAAATGCTAACTTCTGATTCAATTCCTTTTTTCTTTCCATCTTTCACTACAGATTGAAGATTATTATGCTCTGGAAATAACAACATCCAACAGAGGCATATCTTTGCAATAATTTTGTTCACAAAGTTCAAAGACAACTCAAGAGAACAAACACCAATTTCTCTAGCATCGCAGTCCAGAAGATCATTCTGTGCACTCGCATGTGGGCAAACAGAATCAAATGTACTCAATAGCCTTTTCATTTTCACCAAGTGTCCACTCACAGCAAGGTAATGACGCATCAGCAGTACTGCTTTTCCAAGAAGACTGGAAGAGAAAAGGTTAGAAAAATCTTCCATGCATAAAGATGAGCACTCAACAAGTTTTATCTCAAATATCTCTTCCGAAACAAAACTCTTCCAGTTAGAGAAACCACGCAAAAGGATCTTCCAAAAGAAAGAAGAAGTGTTTTCAACATGCTTGCCAAATTGGCCCCCAAATTTCAGAAAATTTGACCTCAAGTATAACAGAACAGTTGGCAGAAGCATCAAGAACTCTTCAGAGTACTGAGGCCGATTGCAGTTTTCTTCCTTGTTGACCTTAAGAGCTTGATTATTACTAATTTTACCAGAAACCAAATGTCCAAATACACAAAGATGCAGGGAGCTCATCTCAGACAGAAGAAACAAGAAGTCACACTTAGTCTTGGTTGTCTTGTCCAAGCAATAAGAAATAAAGTTCACAGGAACACTGGGTAGAAGTCTTGAAGTAGCCATAACAAAAGGTAAGCTGGTCTTCTCCATACATTTATGCATTTTGATGATCTTAACAGCTTTGAATAAACATATATCAGCAACTTCTAGTTGAGTGTGAGTGGCAATCTCAAATATGCTGTTAAAAATTCTCTCAAAAAGGGTAATTTCAAAACTTCTGTTTCCAGTACCCATAAAGAAATTGAATAATGTCCTCTTTGCATGTGGCTCTAACATATATAAAGAAAGAGAATCAAAAGCCCATGAAGCAATTTGTAATCCAACAGACAAACCACATCTTTGACAAGAAATGGAAACTGCAGTATCATTTAGATCAATTCTGGAGAACAACCAGTGCACCAAATTGAGCAACTCAAAGGGACATATGAATTCACTCAGACTATGCAAAGCATACAATGTAGGAATTAGAGGCATCAAATCATCTGTCTTTCTGGAATCTGTGAACCTCGCCTTAAATGTCAAAAATAGCTTCTGCACCAGAGCCTTGAAAGCCTTTGCAATCCGTTCAGTAGAATGATCAACCACAGATGGTGATCTACATTTACTAAATACATGAACCAAAAGCTCAGATGTGGTTCTTCTTAACAACTGCAAAATATGATGATCTATTTTACGAACACCCCGTTCAGCATACTGAAGAAAGGTTTCTGGAGGTTTCATAAAAATCATGTCACCAACATCATTATCGGTATGCAAAGGCCATTCCAGCAATGCAGTGAGTAAAGGGTGGCCAAGAATTATTTCAGCCACTTCTCGAATATGACCAGATGATAAAGGAGGCAAAACACGCGGGGAGCAATCAGGACCAAATTTTTCAACAAATGATTGTTTTACTATGTGCTTTGCAAGAAAACAAGATGATTCACAAAGTTTTTCAAGTTCATCAGATGGTTTGATTCTATAGGCCAATCGCGCTTGAAGCAAGCAAAAGAGAAGACGGCAGAGAGAAGAGACAGAGAAGTCAGGTGTACTCTCAGTGAATTTATCCAGAAGCAAATTCTGCACTTTTGAGTGACCAAGCAAATGCAATCCATCAGTGAAAAAAATAGCTGGAAAGAGCACATGAAAAGGAGCATTCTTTACTAAAAAAGAGAATGCAATAGAAGCAGAATCTGGTGAATCATCAAGCTCATTAGCTATTGTCTGCCCTTCTCCATCATGAACTCCACTTATAACTTTGTCAACTCCAGCAAAGCATATTTTAGGCCATAACTTGAAAACTTCAGCAAAATGACTTGGTTCGAGAAAGAATCTCAACAACAAAATTGAGAAAGGAACCCCAAGCAATTTAGTAGAAGTAGAGATGGTCGATGGGAAATTCTGCAATATCTGATCAGCTGTGGTGCATATCATTGAAAAAGAAAACCCCATAGTAACTCCAAGCAACCCACAATGATCCTTAGTCCTTAAAATCCTATTAACTTCAGAAAGTGTCTCAGAAAATGAACCACCAAGACCAGTAGCTTTCTCTTCAGACATAAAACTGCTATAAATTTGTTGCTGCACGTATTCCTTGCAAAATATAACAAACTATTCATCGGCATCCATTCACAAGGGCAGAATCCAATCATATCGCAACAACCTTTAAGTCTCTCTGATATCAAAAGCTGCGTCAGGGAACACAAAAGTCCACCTTCAACCTAGCAAAAAAATCAATCAAGTACTTACAGCCAGGTATAGAAGAACCTGAGTTGTCTGCTTTAAACAGTGTATAACAACATAATCACATCTGAGTACCATAAACAATTAAAGATGAACTGCTTACCTGAGTTTCCAGGAGATACTTTAATGTGGTAGAAACATACAATGATATCATTGACTTCTCGGGCAATGTAAAAGAACCAGTTTCAGAGCTAAGTAACCTCAAGCACTTCTCTCCAGTACACAAACTATGAAAGGGCTAAAATTGGGAAATGTATCTGCAAGAAGCATCATATTAACTCCAGAAGAAAATGCAAAGCCTATTTCGATAGAAATGAAAGGACTACAATGAAGCAGGAAGATTATCCATTGTTACTATGATTATGAGTAAATAATAGCAATAAGTAGATATTGGTAATTATAGTGTCAGATATATTGTTTAGGCAAGACTTACAGCTAAAATAGCTGCAATTTCAGGGGAAACAAGTAACTAAAAGTAATCTAGTTTCATTAGGGATTAATGCATCATCTTTTGACGCAACAATGAGAATCATACACCTGAGTCAGTCAACAGCAGCCTTAAATAAACAGAGAGGGTCTGTGTTTTCCATATAGAACCACTAGTAAACCTTTCACCATGTAAATCCACCAACAAAACCCAAACCTGACATCAATATTGACAAAACCAATTTAAAAAAAAAACAGTTCACAGAAGGTGATTTTAACAGCAGACCTCGGAAAGAAAGGGACAATGTAAATATCTTTGATATGTCCTTTAAATTGAATACTAGGGCATCAACAACTCCCAGAATCCGGATAACTTTCAAAATTGCTGGGTCTATCATAAATCAATTGCAGATCAAATTAAATTCCAGACTAATAAGAAAAAACTCTTACAAGGTTCCCAGATGTCAGAAGCACGGAAAGTACAAACACAGGCCGGTTCAAGAACGGGAAATTGAATCAGTAAAATATTGTGCTAACCAAAGGTAATTCTTAATAACTACCTAGGACTAGGATAAATGTATGTCACTTGACACTAGCAAAGTAAATCTTTTTGGAGTTTTCCTTGACTGTGACAAGGCTGGAAATGCCATGTTAGACAGGTGCAGGCTACTGATCTTGCAGAGAAATTCAAGGCAAGAAACATTGATTTTTTCTCTTATTTCCTTCAAATTGAACCAACTTCAATTTTAATTGATGGATCAGATAGAAAGTATGAAACAGATCCAAAAGATAACAGTGTTATTAGGTAACTATCGCAATAACCCAGACTACATCCAAACTGGAAATAAAACAAATATAATGTGAATTACCTGTAGAAACTCTAAATCACGGATATAGCCCCTTAAGAGATCCAAATATTTGAACAAGTTGTTCCCAGTAGTAGAAACTGCATCGCAAAGAAAAGAGATGACAACTGAAGACAACTTTTGGAATACTTCAATCCCATGTTTTTGACCATCAATAACCACACTGGTATAGCCAGGTATAAATAGAAACCAAGCAGAAATTTCCCTTGGATTTCTGTCAAATGCACCTGTACTCAACATGGCTGCTTGTGCTAAAGAGTAAGCCTGATCTTTTATGTCTCTTATTGGTGAATACATAAACAAATTGATAAATGAATGAAGATACTTGTACATCAATGGTTGGGTTCTGATGGAAATCTGAGACTTGTTGGACCCAACAACTTGTTCTACAAGCAGTGACAGCATAGACTGCTGCAAAATTGTAGGTAGTGCTAAAGGATTGCTTGGGAGAACTTTAAAGAAGTCAAATGATCCTTCCACAGCAGTAGGCAGAGTCCGCTGCATAAGAGAAAGACAGCACCAATAATTAGGAACAGACCTAAACTCACTTCTTTTCACTTTTTCCAGAGAGGGGTAGTGAGAGCCTATGGGAATTGGAAGGGTGGTTTATCCCTTTTCTTCCAGTAAGACTTTCAATCATAAAGAGACATGCAGTGTGTTTGGATTGTAAATTAATTGAGATACTTTTATTTTTTTGTGATGTGATGCATGTGAGATAAAAAGGTAATTAAGAAGATAAAAAGGTGTATTGGAAATTGTAATGGTGATGTAAACAAATATATTTGAGCAAAAATCTCCTGTCCAAACACACTCGGCTTCTCAAGAACAAGGGATCATAGTGAATGAGCCACAGCTTGGAGTGGTAGACCTAGATCCCTTCTGCCACAAACAACCATCTAAATGTGGCAAACAGAGGTCGAAGACTGTAGATGCTCAGAAATGCCATCTTACTCTTCTGTCTAGTAAGTTTCAAACAATTACTTCAGAGTTCTCCTATAATGCCATAGCATGAGCTAATGCTACATCAAATTCCATTTTCCTAAATTTGAGCTCACTACAAAAGGTAGTATCATTCCAGCAATTACATAATTAATTTCACAATTAAGTATAGTTGTTTGTCGCTAAATTATGCATAAACTGATGTTAATGCATGCAGTTGACTCAGGGCATATGGCTGTTTATTCAGCAATTCATTGTCAGCCTTTTCCTAAGAGTTAACTTGTCCAAAAATCATTGTAATGGTTATGATGTCATTTACATTGAGTAAGTAATGTAACAAAGCAGGGCAGATGCTCTCAGGATATTCATGCTGTAGGTTCAGCCTTTTTAATTTTAAGTTGAGGAAGCTGTTTAATTTCTGTACTCATCTAAATCTATTTGAAACTTTTATTCAAACATTTAAAAACTGAACTTCATTAGCTAGGTATTTCAACTCCGGTCAAGCAACAGACTCATTTAACAATCATATAAAGGCATTTCATCCTCATTTTGTGCTCTTGCTGTGTCATGAAAGATGCTTATCTTATCTCTCATGATCATGCAGATCCAAGATTTTCCATATAGAACTTCTTTGCCTAAGAGGCACTACTTGCAGCCAGGACATTAGGGATTGTATTGATTGTTTAGCAGCATTCAAAGGCATTTTAAGGACTTGATAACTTTTGTGAATATTAAACAACAGAACATGTTTCCTAATGTGAGACATTGGTAAGTACGTATTATGTGAATAGTGGATTCCTTTACTGTTCCACTAAAAGCAACAATAAATGAGTATCTTACATGATAAATTCTGAGAACATCAAGCAACTTTGAGTAAAAGTATGTGTCCCCATCTTCAGTTCTGATATCTACACTGGAGCATCCCTGCAAACCCCAAATTTCTAGAACAGGTTTCAGGAGGTCAACTCCACTATTCAGCTGATCCTCAACATCCTCTTCTGACACTCCATCATTCTCAGTCAAAGCCCCTTCAGTGGTTGAACTAACCCCACTGACGAGAATATCCATGTCCTCATCCACGCTATTCATCTTCAACTTCTTCTTCTTGTGCAAATTATGCTCGACTGTAACATCTACATCTGCAGCCCTCTTCATTCTTGATGCAGGACTCTTGCAGTAGCCACTGAGTGAAGAAAGTAGTGATAATAGCACCTGGGGATCAGGAAGTAAAATCTGGACTACATTCTGAACATCTCGCTTGAAAGATGCCCACTTATGCATCACTTGATCACTGGAACTGGACAGATCATTTACAGAGCCAATTAAAAAGTCGAGAAGCTTTAGTTCCTCCGATACAAGCCTCAGAGTTACATGTTTCACAAGAGGATCAGAGTGAAGCAACCCTTTATTCATTACCAATCGGGTGAATGGGCGTGGCCCTATGCACTTCATAATGTCTTGGACTATCAGATTGTCAATGGATGGGGGCTCCTGAGACTGAGAGTTAACATAGGCACATGTAAATCCATCACCAACTGAGGACATGACATCTGCAGCCAGAGAAATAGCAGAAAACCTGCAACTATTTCAGTCGCAACAAAGGAAATAAATCAAATACCCAAAGTCAAGTAAAAAAGCCAAATATCTAACCAGTTAGGTGATGCCAGGTCTTCAAGATTATGAGGGAAGTTCTCCAAGTATGCTGACCCAAAGGCCGGCCTCCCTTTTACAATGGCCAAAAGCAGGTCTTTGTGGTACTCAACCTCTGTGGGTTTGAGCTTCTTCATAAGATCCACTAATCGCTTCACATTTCCCTTCAAAGGATTAGGCTGCCTCTCTAAATCTGGCATCAACCCGTTAGAAGGATCCGTACACACCATTACTAGCACACTATGCGCCACCTCAGCAGCAAGCCCACCATCCTGCCTCCCTGAAATGCTTATCAATTGCTCCAGAGTAGCACTCCCAAACAACACGCTTCTTAGGCCCGGAGGCACCAACGACTCCGGGACAAGTACTCTATTCCGCAACGTCAGAAGAACATAAACCACAATCTCCTCATCATCATTTCCCAACCCACGAAGCACCCCTGAATACATATCCTTCTGCTGCAAAATCCCTCTCAACAGCCGCGGATTCCCCACTTCCAAAAATGACATAGCAAAACCAACAAATTCCTTCCTCGTCAAATACCTCCTCATCCCCTCATTCCCCCTCGCCTTCCACTCAGCAAGCTTGGAGAAATTCCCAGTTTTAAAATCAAAACCCTTTGCCACCTCCCACGCCAAACCCGGCCCACGCCTAACTATAGAAGCCAACAACAACAAGACAGCTTTCTGCCTTTTCGCCACTTTACTGTTCAACTCCTCGTACAAATCCCCCATTTTCCCTCAGTAATTACTCGCGCAAACTTATCTAAAGCGCTACTAACAAAAACTATAATTACTGACATCTTTATCACTATCTTTTCCAAAAGGATATCTGAAAATTGCCGAAACTAATTTCAAACAGTGGGAAAATCCGGGCTTGCCTTGTCGGAGCTCCCAAGCTTGTTGGACTTCGACGCATTTTGGTGATGATTGGATGTAAAAGGTGAGAAATTGTGGTCCAGAATCGGATTTGAGGATCTTTATGAATTCCTTTGAGGCGTCTGAACAGAGTTTTGATTGCGTAGAAGTTAAGTTCCGCAAAATTCTTTAAGCTTGGCCTGGTGAGATGCCGCATTCACGAATTCTAGAGTTTTTGGTTTGTTATCGCCTTCGTCCTCCTCCATCTCGGCGGAAGAACGGCCGACGGAAAGCCAAAAAGACTAGCCTGATTTCCAATTGGACTCTGTTGTTACTCGGCTGACCGGCGGGCATAAACCCTAAACCATAAACCCTTTTTCTTGAGATGACATGACATAAACCTGTAGCTGCTTTAATTCTGAGTTAATTACACGGAGGCCCTTCACGTCTTCTCCAATATCATTCTAATGACTAACTTTTTTGGTCATTCTCAAATCTTTGCCACTTTATCCCTATATTACGGCCTGTTTGGAATCCGAGTTTTTTGGGAGTTTGTCTAAAACTTTACTGTAGTGCACTGTAGAAGTTTTTGAAAAAATTTTGTAGAAGTTTTTGTAGGGTGAAAATTTTTTTTGTAGAAGTTTTTGTAAGGTGAAAAATTTTGTAGGAGTTTTTGTAAAATGAAAAACTTTTTTGATTCCTTGTCTTTTTTTTTCTTTCTTTTTCTTTCTCTTTCTCTTTCTTTTTCTTTTTCTTTTTCTTTCTTTCCTTTTTCTTTTCTTTTCTTCTCTCTTCTTCTTCCTTTTTCTTCTTCTTCGTTCTGTGTAGCCTCCCCATTCCCTCCCAGCACCGACCCCTCTCCCGCCACCCCTTTCCACCCTTTCCCCTTCTCCTCCCTCTGCCTCCCACTCCCTCCCCGCCACCCCCTTTGCCCCCGACCCCTTCCCCCGCCACCCCTGCCCCAGCGCGACCCCTCTCCCCGCCACCCTCTCTGCCAGCGACCCCCTCCCCGCCACCTCTGCCCTTTCTCCCCTCGCCACCCCCCTCTACCCTTTCCCCTTCTCCTCCCCTCTGCCTTCCCACTCCCCCCCCCACCCCCCTCCTCCTGCCACTCCCCCTGCCCTTTCCCCAACTTGATGACCCCCTCCCCCCACCTCTGCCCAGCCGACCCCCTCTCCCCGCCACCCCTCTCTGCCAGCGACCCCTCCCCCGCCACCCCCTCTACCTTTTCTCCAGCCCGACCCAGGCGCCACCTCCCACCCTTTCCCCAGCCCGACCCTCCCCCTGCCTTTTCCCCAGCGTGCGCCTTCTCCATAGCCATCAACAAGCCGTGCGTATCTCCGCACGATGGGGACGAAACGGCGGTGGTGGTCGACATCGGCGGTGGTGGCGGGTTGGGATGGGGGTGAAGAAGAAAAAAAGGGAAGGGAATTTTTTTTGTGTTGAAATTTTTTTTTTTTTGTGTTTTGGGTATTTTGAAGTGTGTAGGTAAAAAACTTTGAGAAGATTTTTTGGGTTCCTATAGCAAAAGTTGTTAAAAAACTTGTAGGTAAAAAATTTGGCCAAAAAACTAGCTTCCAAACAGGCCCTACATTTTTAACAATTAAGCTATTTATCAAGAAACTTTAGTAAATTTAAAAGCAAAGTATACGCTTGTAATAAATGTTTCAAGATAATATCAAGGGCTTGAAATTACGTCCTTAAATTGTTGAAACCCCTTTTCTTTTCCTTTAGTTAATGAGACTTATAGATTTTATTTGGATAATATATATTTTCTAAATGAATAATTTAAGTGTGTCGACACTCGGCTTAAGAGCCATAATATAGACTTCATTAATGCATGGATATATTTTCAATCCTCGATTTACTTCATGGTGTGATATCCATTATCATGAGTCAGCAAATAAAATCGTGCTATATATACAAAAGTATGGCAAATTAATCAAATGTAATTCATTGACTCATGCGGACTCTAGCTTTAAATTCTTAAATCAAGCGATTGTTTTAACTTCTTAGTAATTTTAGGTAAATATACATCACTTTCAAGCATGAGGATGCCTACAATTTCTATTTAAAATTTCTCTCAAGAGATGAACTATGCTTGCTTCAGGAAGTAGCAAAACATGATTCATGTTTTAGCATCTCAAGAAGGGTTAAGCCGCATTTCTTTTCTTTTTTTTTTTTACTACAACGATAATATTTGTATAATCTAAACTATCCTATCATTATAAAGAAGAGAAGTCTAAAGAGACTGTTTAAGCCGCATTCCATTTACTTTACAAATTTTGCAAAGGTCATCTGCCGTGTGCTACAATATCTTCTCCAAATTCCATTGGTTTGGTTCTTTGTCCATCTGAGGGACCATTTACCTGACTGACTAATTATGAAGCGTACAGCTTTGGTATAACCTTTTAAGTCAGGCTGACAAATTATGAGGTAGACAAGTTTCTGGTACAAGTCCGACAAAAACCAAGACTGAGCACAATAACAAGAAGAGCTAATGCAAAGATGCCAAGGCCTCTCATCAAGTATTTCAGTTCCTTCTTCAAGTTATGTTTTGGAATTGCAAGTACTCAGCTCTCTTTCTCAGCCAAAAAAGTACTGAAAAAAGTGTAGGATATTGCTTAGAAATACTCCCATAGTCGAGCAGTTTCCTTGGTGTATCTTGTCGAGGGGAAAGTTTTCTGCCATTTTGATGGTTTGCTGCTTGGTGGAGTTTCTGGTGGGGGGTAGGTTTCTGCCAATCCCACTAACTATCCCATGACTTTGGTATCTCAACGGGACTGCCAAACATTCATAATAAAGTAATGCTTTTCTTTCCAATCAATTTTACCTTCTTTTAAGGTTTTCTTTCTCAAGTGTCTCTATCTAAGGTATCGGCATATGGACTACTTTGAAAACTAGTTATTAGTTAGTTAGTTTTTTTTTTTTTTTTTTTTCAACACAGGGTGTTCGGGTCAATCCTTACGGGCCCGACTAATCCCCTGCGGCTCGGACCCGGCGCCCCAACCCAACCCGAATACGATAAGTGCGCGCAGAAATCCAGTAGAGCGGAGATTCGAACTTGGGATCTCAAGGGTCACCGGTGAGAGGCACTACGGTTGGACCATTCACAGGGGGCGAAAACTAGTTAGTTCAATCCAACACATTCGTGTTTATTTGACTGGTTATTTTCGCAGTTCTCAGTAGCTATTAAAACTTAAAAAAAGAGGCCGGAAGAAGAAAAATACATGCATTAAAAACCTAGTACTAAAGGTACAATTATTACTTTTGTGAGCTTCGAAAAGATTTTTTTTTTAAAAGAATATGTTTTATTTTAAAAACTGTGAGATTATTATAGTAACATATACATGCCTGCCTTGCATCCCTCGAGTATAATAAAAAGATAAGGTAAGGTATTGTAAGTTGTAACAGCCTCTCTTCTTGACACATATAATATTTCTTTTCTTGATAAGGGGCACGTCTCTCATTTCTTTTTCACTCCATTTATTCCTTTTGGTTGGACTCAGAATAGTCCAAAATATAGTTGCTTCTAGATTTACTTGATAGTTACGTAATTCTGTTATTAACCTATACTTATGTAATTATGTCTTTGTTATGTGATTAGGAATGGTATGTGAGCTTATTGATGATGCAGTCTTTGGATCATAAAATGTGAAATTTGTAGTAATAGAGACATAAATAAGAGTATTTTGAAGGGCCAATGTTGTGCCTTATACAGCCTAATTCCCCTAGTATAAGCACATAAGAAGAAAGTTAAGTTACTACAACAACCCATGCTTTTGATACATGTATTATTTATATTTTTTACAATTGTCAGTTTCCATTCTTAGTTGAATTTTCGCTCCACTATTTTTTTTTCTTTGATTAGCCAAAAATTATAAACATTACTTCTCCCAATTCTTTTCTTCTTTCTTTTTCTCCTCTGCCTTTAATCCTCATCTCCCTATATTTTCTTCATCTTTCTTTTTGCCCTTTCAAATTTTTTCTTTATAATTAATTATACTCAGATTATTTTCTTTCTATTTTTTTAGGTTTATTATGGACCACGCAACAATCAACTGATTTATACTATTACTTCTTCCTCTATTAATTTTAAATCTTTAATCCAATATTTTGCTTTTCTCCTTTTTTTTTCCTTCATCCTACTTTTTCTCTACCTTTCCTCCTTCCACTCAATCAATACATCCTTTCTTTTTTCTTTTATAATTAACTGAATGCATGTTTTTCTTGTATGAGAATGCATATTTCTTTTCTTTCTTTGTTCAAAAATCATGATTCATTATCATCCCTTTTTTTTAGGGGAAACATAGGCAATAAACCTTTTATCTCTGCTACTCCTACTGTGTGGTATGTTCCATTTTATTTTTATTCCTTTTTTTTCCCATTTCACGCTACCAAATATGGACTTTAAGTTCTTTTCGTTAATTGTATTTTATTTAGCCTTTATCATTTTTTTTTTTTGCCTCTTTGTCCTGTTACCATGGTGTTATTTATTTATTTTTGCTTGATCTCCTTGATATTCATTTAGCCTTCCATTATTTAGTTCTAAAATTTGATTCTCCTTATGTGAGGTTTATCTTGAATCTAAATACAAAATTTGTATTTTGCAACTATGATGTTTTAGTTCCTTTTCAATGCATAATTGAATATTGCACTTTTTAGTAAATCTTTGGTACTAAATTTTTGTGCCGTTTCTATGCATTGGACAGCCTTCCATTCGAATTTCTTACAAGTTTTGTTGTGAATTTGTAGGATGGAAATTTTTACATGATGATGTCTCGTTTGATAAAAAAATAGTGGAAAAATTTTATGTGTCTGTAATTATAATACTAACGTGTTATTTGAACTTTGTGAAGCATATATCATTTATATTA